ACTCAACCTGCGTGAAATCAAGTGTCCCCAAATTCATCTTAGACACATCAAACTCCCTATCTTGGAGTGAACTACACTTATTGCTTTTGAAACATGGACACAGGCTACCAGGTTTTTTTCGGGACATGTCTATCTCATGGTCCGGTGGTGTGTGTGAACAGACAAGGTCTTCCAGTGAACGCAAGGCTGTCAAGTTGATGCCCAACGGTCTACCTATGCGGAAAACTGGGTGCCCCGTTTGAGCCGGACTGACTGTCGCCCGTCCTGATGCCGCTGACTGAGTCGCCCGTGCGGACCAAACATGTGTTCCATTTGAAGGGCTCAACTGTTTGGAGGGCACTGAGAAAAGCAAACCTGCGCCAAACATTTGAAGGAAAATATCTGTCACTCGAGCAGAGCAAAGGGGATGAAAAACCGGAAACGTCCCACTGCTCGCACTTACAATAGTCACTGACTTCTCTCTTCAGTACCTTTTTGCAGACTGGAGCTTGTGAAGAAGTAAGCGGTCGAGTGTTGATACCAAATCAAAATCAAACCCACGAAACGCTCCGTTCGGGCGAAAACTGGGCGAAAACAGAAGAACCTCAAGTAACTAAGGAGGCCGAGGCACAATGGGACAAAGGAACAACTGAGAAAAGTATGACAAAATGCCTGACAGAAAAACTAATTGACTACAAATGATTACAATACAACCTGTGTGGTTCGCCATGCTTGCCCTTTTACGCTTCTTGTTGATGTTGTCATCTTCCTCCCCCCCAAAAGGCTTCAGCAAGTCCAGAAGCTTCTTCAGCAGGTGCAATCCACCCGTCTGACAACCGAAAGTAACGAAACCGGTTTCGTCCAAAAATGGATCCAGTTGGCATTTGAAGACTGCCACTTGAGAGCGTCACACCTGTCACACCCTCCCAGTCTTCCAAGCTGGCACCCCTCCGCGGCCCGCCGATCCTTCGCGTCCGTTGACGTCCCGCACGTAGCTGCGCTTCTTGAAGCCCAAGATCTCTTCCACCTCCTCTGCGCACGCAGACTCTGGGCCGGGCACCGGCTGCGGATGGGCCGAGAAGATCGAGGAGTTGGGCACCTCAGCAAGTCCAGAGCGACTGGGAGCGGCTTTGGTAGATCTTCAGAGGTGGAGGGGTGGTGGAGGGGTGGTGGAGGGGTGGTGGAGAGGTATTTTGTGATGGAGACGAGCGTGGTGTGTTCAAAGAACTTAAACGGAACACTGCCGGATGATAATGATGATGATTGATGGTTCTTGCATGTTGAAGACACTTTGGGGGAAGTTTCTCTGCATGCAAAGCGCGCAAATCAAAAAAGAGGAAAAAGGGTTGACTCGTTTTTTCTCCCAAGAACCACAATTCTTCGGGCGAAGTTGGGAAAATAGACCTGGGAGCTGTCATAGCCCTGCCGTTGCTGCCAAATCCCATGGTGCCCTTCCAAGCACGGCCAAAAGTTCATGGGCAGATTCCTGATCAAGACCGGAGCTCCAGCTGTGAAGATGTTCACAAGGCAGAGCTCCAGGGCCTCCGCGCGCATGATGCGCGCCTCCAGGCCGTTGGGTCCATAGCAGCGGAGCGAACACACGGCTCCGTCGACCTGCTCCACGGTCCACTGCTTCTCGCTCTCGGCGCTGGAGTGGAACACGGGACTCGCTTGACAGAAGGATGCCTTGATGCGGACCTTCAAGGGAGTGATGCAGGAGGGAATTGCTCGTGAAAAGCCATCCGTAAATACAAAGTTTTTTTTCAGAGTACCGGTGAGAGAGGCGAAAAAACGGAATTACATCCATATACTTGCAATCAACAAGCGCATGCCTCAAATTGCTCACTTATGGAGTTCACCTTGTCTGAGTCTAGGTACTTTTGGGCAAGAGACTACCCTGCCTTCTGCCCAACGACAAACTTGGGCGCAGGTGGCGCCTCAGCTGGCGTAGACAAGAAAAATGAAAACATCCCACCACTTCTTGGTGTCGTTTGAAATTCTGGCTACCTGTCGCTACACCTGACGACCAAGGCCAAACGCTTCAGCTGGCTCAAACACCCGGATTCCTTTTGAGGAACCAAACCTCCTACCGCCATCGAGAGAAAGCCATCAAACTCTTTCAGTTTACGTCTTACGTGGGGTCCTCCTTCCAATATGCCCTCTCTGGGCATGGTGTGTGTACGTGTGTGTGTGTGCTTGTCTGTCTCCTCTGAAAGACGAACCAAAAGGAAACTCACATCAACACCGACCTTCCCACCCCAGAAATCTTCTTCCAGGCACTAACGGCTTGGCTTCAGCCTGCTTGGCCAACATCTGCGCGCGTTGGATCTCGAAATGGTTTTCTTGCACCTCGGAGCAGCTGACTTCAAAGGAGCGGGACGGAGGGGGCTGAGAACATGGGCATCCTTCGAAGAAAGAACTCGACGTACGCGTTTCTACATTCAACCGTTCAGGAAACCCAATGATCAATTCAAATGGCTGGGGTGATTAATCAAAAGTCTACAATTACAAGTCACTTCGAAACACGGTCAGTCCCCTTCTATGTGTATCATGAGGAGCTGAACCATTCGAAGACAGAAACAACCGCCTTCATCCCTCGCCGATGATCACCGGCCCCGTAGGGTCCAACGCAGGGCATCGATCCATCCAGTTCGGTCACACCTAGCTAGCTGGCGAGTCGGCTAGTCTCATGAGTGTGACTCGCACGTTGTTCGGCAACTGGTTTGATCTGAACAAGATCAAAGAAATTGCTTTGTCTCAAAGAATAGGTGTGAATTGGGTGGATGGTTCATTCCCAAGTAGATAAATAGAACGCGAATCTACCGTGAAACAAACCGCAGCACATGGGGAAAACAGGTGATGCTGGCGCCATTTCCGGAACCAAACCCCCCCGGTAAGCCCCACGGGGTTTGGAAGGTTCAAGCCAAATCAAGGGTTTCCGGAAGCCACTGAACAAAAAAATGGACGCCAAGCCTGGCCCAAACCTCCAGAAAGCTTTAAAACAACATACTAAAAACATGTCCTCTATCTCTGTGCCCCTTCGCCATGTTGTGAATTCCAATCCGGCGCAAGGCATGTCGCCATCCCCAAACCACGGTGGCATGGCACCTTCTGTTGGCAACTCGAGCGCCGGTGCATCTTCTGCTCCTTCGTCCGCTCTGCCTATGGCGGCGAACCCCCTCCGAAGGTGCCAGGACGTGAACCAGCGAGCGGCCATCGGTTTGATCGCCGCATCGAGTCACCAAGACCCACCAGTTGTAACAATCTTAGATTGGCAAATGGTTAAAATGATGGAGGTTGAACACTTGACGTCGTGAAGCGTTATTCTGTGCCTCCATCCCATTTTCCACAATCTGAAAATAGATCTTTACGGAAAACTCAGAACACTTGGCGCGTTGCTCTAGACCTTGGGACATGCCCTCAGAAGTGCCTGGAGCGTCTAAGAAAAAATTGGAAAGCAAAACCCCAAAATCGACGAACCTCCCAATGCCTCAGACTTCACTGTCACCTCAGGTCTTTCGCCCGGACCCAGCGCGAACGTCTTCGCGTGCCGCGGGACCCTGGGCCTTCGTGAGCTCCTCGCAGTGACGCTTCAGAGTCTCATCAGCGTTATGTTTTCTGGCCGTGAGATTGGCCACATCCTGCCGGTCAGACCCAACCACGGGGGCGACCCCTGCTACCACCATGGGCGACCGCACCAGTCAGGTGTTCTTCAGGGTTCGAAAAGTAAGTAGAGAGAAAGTGGTTTTGAAGATTTGGGAGGTTTGGAAACTTGAAGATTTGGGAGAACTTGAGTGGGAGACTTTAATGATTTCGCGGAAATGTTCCGCAAACAGCCCCTTCCACAGGTCACAGAGTGGGTTGTCCGCAACAGCATCGTGAAAGGTCACCTGGGAAGGGATGAGTTGTCTCAGGCGACGCAAAAAAAAAGGTACATGTGCCCGGCAACAGACCCTGAAAAACAACACATTTGGTCCCATTGCGAAATGCTGAAGAACTGGAGAACAATTCAAAGGGTTGAGTAGATGTGGTGGTTGCAAGAACGATTCCAAACATGTTGTTTAATATGTTTTTGCATGGCGAAGTCTGGCGATAAGCGTAGAAGATTGGTGATTCTTTGTGCCACCAAAATGCCATCCTCTGGAATTTTCAGGCAAATCACCGGTTCCAATAACCAGTTCACTAGGAACTTGAGGCAGCATTTAATCACTGGTCAAACCTAGTAACAAATCGTTACTGCAGGTTTGTTTCATCTGATGAGCATGGTATTTTCACCCTTGGCAGTCACACCCGTGCCATTTTTGACTGCAAAAAGCTACCTGCTCCGGGTCCTTTAAACCTCCAGTCGTCGGGGCCTTTTCCTCTTCCTCCGACAACTCACACTCCGACGAACTGTCGCTGTCTGATTTCAAGGCATTAAGCAACGCTTCATCGTCGAAGAGGTCGGGATCGAACCACATGGCTGGCGATTTCAACTAAGGACTCCCAAGGCACCAAAATGCTGCAGGCAGGATCATTTTCTGGCATCGCTACTAGGAGCAAGAACGCTACTAAAGTTCCTGGCATCGCTACTAGGAGCAATGTCGAAACGGGGGCAAGGAATGTTTCTGGGTCCCACCTCGTGTGTCACCATGGATGTTTAAGGATGAACCAGTCCAGTCTGGTGCATTTTCGGAGCACAAGCACATGAAACGCTACCTCACAGTTCCTCAAAGAGCCACTAAACTCGGCTGTTTGACTGGGTTCCACCCTTACACGGATCCCAATCTCACTCTCCTGGTACAAGCACCCTTTTGGCTGGTCCTCTGCGGATGGAACCTTGCCCTGTGTTGGCAAAATCCACCCATAAATCGATAGGAATGGTGCGAAGCACAACTCCTGTTGCCATTTCGGCAGTGATGGAACTGACTTGAGCTGCGCTAGGCTGGCAAATTGAGTGTTTTGTTAAGTGTTGTTGTTGTTGTTGTTGCTGTTGTTTATTGTCTGACCACTTTGTTGCCCTTCTTCTTTTCTCGAAGGTTTGAGTTTTTTGGATTGGTCACCAAAACCTTGCCCAGCTGCAGCGCCGGCGGTCCACTTAAGCCGACACCTTTGGTCAGGACCAGGAGCCTCGAGCAAGCGACCCACAAAAACACGACAGGGGTGCAAGCGACCCCTAAAAGGGGGGGGGACCTGTCTAAATGTAAGCTACATTTTTTAGACCCCCCCCTCCCCCCAAAAAAAACATTGAAAAATGTAGCTTACATTTAGACAGGTCCCCCCCGGTTTTGTAGAGATAGGGGGTGGGGATGGTACAAGCACCCTTTTGGCTGGTCCTCTGCGGATGGAACCTTGCCCTTGTTGGCAAAATCCACCCATAAATCGATAGGAATGGTGCGAAGCACAACTCCTGTTGCCATTTCGGCAGTGACGGAACTGACTTGAGCTGCGCTAGGCTGGCAAATTGATTGTTTTGTTAAGTGTTGTTGTTGTTGTTGTTGTTGTTGCTGTTGTTTATTGTCTGACCACTTTGTTGCCCTTCTTCTTTTCTCGAAGGTTTGAGTTTTTTTGGATTGGTCACCAAAACCTTGCCCAGCTGCAGCGCCGGCGGTCCACTTAAGCCGACACCTTTGGTCAGGACCAGGAGCCTCGAGCAAGCGACCCACAAAAACACGACAGGGGTGCTTGATGAAATCGAGATAAGAGCTCGAGGAACAGGGTTTACAGGTGAACACTTCATCCAGGTGAACAGGGTTTCAAAGATGTGTTCCATTCCGACATAGTTCAAGAAGATGAAACCTGCAGTTTTCGTGGTATTTCCCACACAAGAAGATGAAGCCTCCCTATAACAAACTGTGGGAAGAAGAAAAGCTGACACATCACCTAACTCCTCCAATCTCCGGCGCAGGTCAAAGTCCACGATGCAGGTCCCATCTCCGTAGCTCGACGCTCTCTTTGTTTGGGGCTACTGCTGGCAAAATTGTTGCTTCAATGGATGAACGTGGACTCAACCTCAACTCTTTCAACTAGCAGCGTTCACCGCCAACAAGGGCCACTTTCTATCAATTCGAAACAAGTCACCAAAAAAACATCCAAATTCTGGAGTCTTTCAGGTCCGCATGAAGTCCACCGCTGCTTCACCCATGTTGTTGAGTCTCCGAACGATGGAAACACTGATCGAATCGCCGAGGTTAAGCCCTAAGAATGGCGACTTTTGGATGGGTTCAGAAGTGGCTCAAAACGCGGCTTTCGCTTTCTTTGGGCCCAAATGTTGGGGAAGTAGCTCACAAGCGCGGCTTTCGCGGATGTTCCTCCCGGAGACCGGATTTTCCGACCGGATCGAACCCCTGTCCCAGCGTGCCTCGACTCCTGCCCCAGCGCTTTGGATTCCAAGCTTCTTTCCTGAAAAAAGGCTGAGAACAGGTGGGGTCGGCATACATCACCCGTGCGACCGTCACACTCGTGAGTCGGCGCGCAGTCATCATGGGTTTTGGTTGACCGCGTAGAGCCCCAGAGAGGCCCCGAGGTAGAGAAGTTTATGATCACTGACTGCAGGGCAGGTTTCACTACGTCACTCCACTGACCTCATGGTTTTGTTGGTACCTCCACTGACGCCCGCGCGCGCGCGCGTGCGCGCAGCAACAACAACAACAACAACAACAACCACAACAACCACAACCACTACCACTACCACTACCACTACCACTACCAACTACCAACTACCAACTACCAACTACCAACTACCAACTACCAACTACCACCAACAACAACAACAACAAACAACTACAAAAAAACAACAAACAACAACAAACAACAAACAACAGAGATGGACGCAAACCAGAAATGAACGGACGATGATTGACGAATTCTCCTCCCCCTGCTTTCCAAAGCCAGGCTTCTTTTGTTGAGGCCAGGATTCTTTGCTCGTAGACCACGAGGACCACTCCTTCTGTTCTTTCCAATCATTCCAATCGTCCCGCTTCCAGGCATCTTGTCTCCAAGACCGCAATGATTGGCCTGGAGAGACTCCTATGGGAAGAAACTTCACAAGCACAGTAAGATACAGTAAGCGATTCTGTTCATGCCCTGTCTTGAAAGTAGAATGTCAAAGTCAAGATTAAGATTCATGCTCGTTGATACCAACCAGTAGACATCCGTAGACCACGGATCATGGGACGTGATCCTGAATCCGAAAGGATCTGAACCCCTTGGCAAATCTGCAAATCTTGGCAACTAGAAAGCTAGTCAAAAGGGGGGCCCAAGTGAAGTTGGGTCACGACCAAGATGATGGTGGGAGGACTGGGATTGCAAATGATTGGAATCTCTTCCTTGGCCACGTCGAATTCATGTTGCTCGCGACCGCATGGGCACAGGGATGTATCTCCGTTCGGTCATCTTATTTTCTCTGTCCTGAGCCACTCCATTGACCAGTGCTGCCGGTGGCTTCGCTTGGCCCTGGGCAAACGTTTGGCAATCTTTTGATCTATGAAATAACATGTATATATATATGCCGTTTACACTGTGTATATACACATATAATATATATATATGTATGTGTGTGTCCTATGGTGATCCTGAAGTAGATGGAAAATATATGTGGAAAAATAGGAAAAAGGAAATGTTTTCGGATAGTTGATTCATGTTCTATCTACTCCAGGTTGCATTTATGCCTGCTCTGTTTGAGTAGGGGACACCCGCTTGGGCAGGAACAGTGGACACCACCGCCAGAGGGTGTTTTCTTTGGATTGCCTTTCAGAACTGTCCAAACCAAAGCCACCCCAGCACGCGCCTTTGATCGGAACCGCCAAGAAGCCTTGGCCACCTGAGAGGCCGTGGCTGGATGTGGCCGGTTGGGTCTTGCAGCCCCAAACAGATCCCACAAAGCGTGACATTCTTGAAACAGCCATGAAAACCTGACGACGTTCTGAACATGTCCTAAGTCAAACACTAGCACAAGTCTACTGCAAACCTGGCGCCCAGCTGCAGAGTAGGTGTGTTTAGCTGGTGCCCGCTACATAATCTAATTGAGAAAACACCATCATAAGTTACATAAGCTACTTTCGACCCCTTTATCTGTTTGTTTTGATCATAGACTTTTGGCCGGACTCCATGCTCTTTGTATGCCTTTAGTAGATCATGAATGAAGCTGATGGCTTGTCAAGGCTCGTGGTAATGGTTGTTCCGTCCGGGGCTGCTCTATGGTACTCAGTGGGTCTCAGGATGTCTTGGACCTGCACCACTGTCAGACTGAGCTACTAAGTTTCAAATACCCAGACTGTAATTTTGGAATACGCGATGTTCACATTGATAAGCTGCTCAGTTCGTGAACCTGAACACCACTTACCGCACTTAAGACCGTTCACAACCTCAACGATCTTCGCACCAAACTGGGACACAGCTGCAACCCAGTGGAGAACCTGGCGTCCCTGACAATATTCTCAGAGTTCCATAGGTTGTGAAGAGAAATGTTCAAAAGAACACCACTAGTTCTAAAGAATACCAGAAATGTCTGCAACATTTGGGGGCATCACTACTAGGAGCAAAGGACGCTACTAGATCTACTAGAACCAAAGGGTTTCGCTACTAGGAGCAAAGGATGCTACAATGCTTCCCGCAATTCCAGGCGGTCACCACACGGTCACCATGCGGATCCATGCGGCTGGGGCGTCGATCTGCAGCCGCGAGCGGAGGAGGTGAGAGCCGATCGAACCCAAGTGATCCAGGTAGAGCTCCTGCAGAGATGCGTGGCAACTCAACGTTGTCGGTCGAAGCAGCAACATCACAACCCGCACCGCGACCTACATTTTGACGGCCAATATATGATATCGTAATTTGGGTGGGCTTGGGTCCTGAAGTATGTGAATCTTGGATCATATGGAGCCTCTAGCTTGAGCCCTTTTTCTTGGGCATTTTTTGCGCTTGGACTTCTTCTGCAAAGGACGCACTCGTCGGTCAACACCATCTCCTGCAAGGCCGCTTCCACCCGGTGTTTCCAGGCTGAGTCTGCTTCTCAGCTGACGCTGTAGTTCTGGTGGAGCGGCTTTGTAGACCTCAGCCGGCGTGGAGTTGGCTAAAAACCATATGGGCGATGGAAAGTATTTCCGTTGAGTTATCACATGGGCCTTCCATACCTCGTTCTCCCATCTCGCATCGTTTTTGGGGTGTAACCTCGTTCTCCATTCCTGTATCTGTCTTGTGCAATGTATACCCATCTCGTTCTTGAGAGGTGTTCCTACCTCGTTTCACCAGCTAAACATGTCATTAACTAAACCATTTTTAAACAAATGGCGCCATTGATGCCAATCTCGTTCTCCGGATGTTCCTACCTTGTTTCGCTAACTAAATCTGACATTGGGCTATAGAAAAGGAACGCCCCTTCTACTAATCTTGACTACCGCAAATAAAAGCCGTTGCTCATATGGGCTCGAGTTTAAGAAAGGGCGCCCCTTTTCCGTGGACAACTTGGACGCTCAACTTGGACACGGTGACGGCTTTCAGCCAGCCAAACCACAACCGGCGCTCCGAATGCCACATCCCACACCTTCTCCCCAGTCTGAGGTGAGACAGCGCAGATGGTTCTCGCCTGCGGCTGGGGCAGCTGCAACAAAGTGAAATCAAGCGTAGCCATCTCAATGGCTGGCCTTCTGGGCCTATCATCTGCCAATGGGCAGCTCCCACACGCACGTTAACTTACGTTAACATATGCCAACTTCCTTTTGAGAAGCCACACCCTTGACCAACTTCCCGTGCCCCCCGCCTTCTTGGGAGTGGACTCCAAGGGTCCGTGTGCTCCAAGCCTCCGTGGCATGTCCTCCTCTTCGGTCGCGCCTGAACGCGCGGATCCTGAACTGATGCGTCTCTCACCGGCTGGCAATGTCTCCTTAGCACCTGCAAGCTCTTCATTCACTTCTTCATTCCCTGTCCCTTGGCCTTGGACATCCTGCTTTGTGTCAACCCTGCAATCAGTGAACATTGAGCGCTGGGACTCATCATCTTCCTCCGCGTCTCCTCTCTCCTCAGTCTCTTGCTCCTCCACGTCGTCCTGCTCGCAAGCATCGGGCACACTATGGGGCAGTGTGAGAATGGCATTCTCTGACGTTGAGTTTTCTTCTGGAGTTGTCTCAATTTCTGGCGCTGGCTCAATGCTACTCTCAAGCACCTCAAAGGTCATCATTAAACACCCCTGGGATACTCATCAAAGGGCGACTCATCACACAAGGACCTCTATGCTGACAGCTTCAAAAAAAAATCAGTTTACTCCTTGCCACTTCCCTTTCATTCAAAAAACTGCATTCTCATTCAAAAAATGCTGCAGCGCCAGCTATGTTTTCCCAACTGCCATGGCCTTAGGCCTTCTTGGGGTACTTGGTCTTGGAAGGTAGCTGCTCTACTAAACTTTCCAAAGCCTGGGAAACATCATCTTTGATGACTCCAGGACTTTGCTCTACTTCTCCCCTGCCAAGCTTGAAAGGCTCTGTGTTTTTCACGTAGGACCATTTAGTCCACAACCATTCATGCGCCAACTGGAGTTTGTTCTTCCAGTCTGGACCATCTTTACGGTCAAAACTTCGCCCAAAGCTTTTTTGGGACCATGGAGGAAGGGTCCACTCAGCACAATCAGCATCCAATCTAAAAGAAGCCACCCATCCTTGGATCAACACACAAAAGTCTGGTTCCAAAAAAACATTTGCAAGAAAGAGAGAGGAACCAGTTGTACAAACAAGTTTCTGTGGTCCTGGTGCTTCAGCAGCAAAACCCCTTGTGGTGGAGTGAGGAGACTGAGGACAGCTGGAGACTCATGGAGCTTTGGTGCTCTGGGAATAACAGCACTCTCATGCTCTTGCTCTGCTTTCTCAGCAGCAGCCTCTTGCCTTGCTTTCTCTTCAGCCTCTTGCCTTGCTTTCTGTTCAGCCTGTTCCCTTACTTTCTCTTCAGCCTCTTGCCTTGCTTTCTCAGCAGCCTCTTGTCTTGCTCTCTCCTCAGCCTCTTGCCTTGCTTTCTTTCTGTTCAGCCTGTTCCCTTGCTTTCTGTTCAGCCTCTTGCCTAGCCTTCTCTGCAACCTCTTGTTTTGCTTTCTCTTCAGCCTCTTCCCTTGCTTTCTCTAAAACCTGTTGTCTTGCTTCCTCCTCAGCCTCTTTCCCTTCAAACTCAGGTTCCTTCTTACTTGCTTCCTCAGCAACTTCTTCAGCCTCAGTCTCTAGATCTGGAAAATGCACTGTGCTTGACCTTCCTTTGCCTTTGCCTTTGCTTCTTCCTCTGCCTTTGCCCCTGCCTTTGCTCCTGCCCCTGCCTCTCCCTCTAGCTGAAGCTTTGGACTCCAAGAGTTGCACAGCCTTCTTCAAAGCCCTTTTAGCCCTGGTTTGTTTTACTTTCAACTTCTCACCTTTTAAATCAGGATCCCCCTGGTTTCCAATTTCTTCTGCCAAGTTCAAAAGGTCCTCATAGTCACTCAACTCTGAATCTGCTTCTTCCTCACCATCATCATCATCTCCTTTGGGTTTCAGGTTGGACCTTTGGAGTGCTTTCTCCCTTTCTGCCTCATCTTCCACAAAGAGCTCAATCAGCTGCAAATATCTATCCTTTTTGGCTTTAGATTTGGTTCTTTGCTTGTAGTGCTTCAGAACTGTTAGGCACTGGTTGATGGTGAGTGACAAACCCTCAGTGATCCTGGCAAGGGGTAACTCCTGGGCTTCAGCAGTCTGCTGAAAAATGATGGGTCCAAATCTGTTTTGGAGGACTGGGTTGGTTGGGATTGACAGCCAGGAACCCAATCACCCACTGCATACCAGCAAAGTGAGCCATGTTCCTGGTTCGGCTCCAGCTGGAGTCTGCCACTATCAGCTTCCCCAACCACTGATGCCCTCCAAGCCAAAAAGTTGTAGGTGCTCCTGGCCACAACCATTACCACTGCACCCTCCTCCCTGCAAGCAAGGAAGGAGCCTGCTGCACCAACCAAACAAGTCAGGCTCAAAGTGTCATATACAGCTGGTTCCATGGACAGCCCTTGGCCCAAGAGCACCTCCAAAGCAGCTGCTTCTCCAAACCTAGGTTTGCTGGTGGTGATAGACTAACCTATAATGAGGCTGCCACAAAAAACGCAAAAGCTTGCCTGCAGGATGACAAGCCAAAGAAACAAGGACTGGTGGCTTGTACTGGGCCATGTGAAGTTGGGGCCACTGCCCTTATGCTTCATCACACTTTGGTACTCTCTGTTCAATTGATGGCTGTTAGGGTGTGTGGCCTTCTGGATGCTTTGCACCCTGTTCCTCCCACAGCTTGCTGAAGCTTTCTGCTCATCAGTGACACACACACACACTGATGGCAAACCTCTCCCTGCAAACACCTCAGAGTTGATGACTGATTGGTATTTCTGAGGCCTGGATATTTGATCGGCAGCATGGAGTAAGTCCTTCACTTTTTGATGGCAGTTCTCAACAACAACTGTATCTCCTATGTTTCTAGTGGCTGTTTGGGAAAACAGCACTGCATTTGCATCTCCATGCCCTAAACCAAGCCCAAGGTCAGACTCATTCAGGAGGAAGTGCAGCCTTACAAAGGCTGTCTTCAAGAAGTGTGCCTGCTCTAAGGGCCAAATGGCATGGCCCATAGCTTGAAGCATCTCTGCTTGCAAAATGACACCCCACTCCCCCTGCATCCTTTTTTGTGTATCAGCAAAGGTCTCAGGCCAACACAGAGCTGCATATCGCCATGGAGGTTTGCAACACTGAGCCACTAGACTCATAGCTCTTTCAGAGATCAAACTGACAGTGAACTTCCAATGCTTTTGCAAATGACCCTCAGTCATGAGGTCTTCATCCAGGTACAACTTCTTCATCACAGTAACATTGCACAAGCACTGGCTGGCTATATCAAGCAACTCCTCTTTCCAACCACCAAGGACCATTTTCACCACATAGTCTTGCACTTGATCAGCAGTCTTGACATCTTTTGCCTTCCTGGTGTATCTTGTCCACAAAGTCTTGCCACATTCATACACCAAGCACTGCTGCCACATGCTCTCTTTGTTCACCAAAGCAGGAACCAGAGCCCATGCGCCATACTTCTGCTTTAAGTAGCGAATCTCCTGCTGTGGTGTCATGCCTGAAGTCAGGCAGAAAAACATTGGTTTCAAAGTCAGCTTCACCTTCTTTACCCTCCCAACTATTTTCATGAAGCATCACAAGCTTTGTGAAGTAGATTTCCCCCTGATGGAAATGCTGGCTGTCCCACCAACTGTACCATCTCATGAGTTTTGTCAGGGGACCATGTATTTGGCAGCCCTTCATCTTTCTGAGCTCCTCAAACATTTTCTCTCTTTGCTGTGGAGTGCCATCCTCCACAACCCCCCTCTCTGCACAAATGTATGGCATGTAAGCCAAAAAAGGATTGGCATGACAACTCCTGTTCTCACAGAACTCCTCCAAGGCCTTCCTCTTTCTATTGAACCAGGTCTTTGAGCCACCTGGCCCATAGTTTACATTGTGTATGACCCCAAAGGCCAAAAAGTTCCTGAATAGGCCTGCAGACTTCAAGCTCGCTTCCAGGCTCGCTTTCAGGTCATTCCAGCACCTGTGGGTCTCATCATAGCCAACCACCAGGGCCAAGGGGAGCATGTACTGGCAATAGTCTAATGCACCTCTGTTGATTCCACCTTGGTCACTGTAGCTGGCCAGAACTGGTTGGGTCTTGCAATTCCAACTGTTTGGAAGCTGCTGGTAGGATTCCTGAGTTTTGGAATTGTTGATCCAGAAGCTGTCACCTCTCCAGACAAGGCTTGCCAGTGCACCTCCTTGGGGATTTCAAAAGATGCAATACTTTTGCCAATTGCCTGAAGGGCATGAGAGACAGCTCTGAGTTCACAATAGCCATGAACTCTGGTGACCTGCTTTCTTTGGGCCAAAGCGCTGATTTCCAGTTCCAATTCTACACTCTTCACTGGCAACAAATATTCAATGGGCAGCCAAGCTGCACAGTTGCACTGGTTTGACCACACTGCCACCACCATCACATCATCACCACTGTAGTTGCTGGGGTCCCAGCTGATCTGCATATGGTTGCATTCTTCAAATGTACTTCCCAAGGTCCCCATATATTGTGAGCACTCAATGAGAGTTTCCCTGCTCACCAAGCCAGCACCTTCTGGCACTATGTCCCCATGGCTTTGCATAATCTTTTTCCTGTGTGACTTTGCTTTACCAACCCTTCTCAGGAGAACAAGCTTGTTTACCCATGGAATGGTTTTGCTGTGCCCTGCCCTGGTCCTTAGCAACGGTGCTGCTTCAGGCTTCCTCTCTGTCAAGGTCAATGCAAACTGCTCCAAGGCCTGCCCCAAAAGGAATAAAAGCTTTGGCCAAAGGAAATGGCCAACATGTAGCCACCCATTGGATTTGGGGCTTGCCTTCAGGCTGGCACACCAAAGCAACACATCAAACACTGGAGCGTGTCCCAGGCTGGTTGTGATCTTGTGCTTGCACCAGCCAGTCCTCTTGAGGTTCTCCCACTTTCCTGCTGCTTGGTTACATTTGCTCACCCAGCCTTCTAAGTCACATGTTACGCCATCCTGAAATTCAACATGCAAAATGTACATCTCACCATTCATGAGGGGCCCTGGCACTGTAATGTCTATGCTGTGTGTGCCCTTTTGAATGCGCCTGCCCACCAAACTTTGTAGCAATGACCAAGCCATCTCTTTTGCTTGCACCCTGGTTTGCCTTCTCAAAGGGAGCAAGCAAAGCATAAGTATCAATGCCCTGCTTTCCATGGTATGTTTGCCAACACTACCAGGCCCTGCATCTTTACCTCTGTAGTGGAACTCTGAAAAGCTGAGCTGTGCCTCAAGAAACTCAGTCCTGAACTCCTCTAACCCTCTCTTCAGCAGGAGCCCATCTTTTTGGGTTTCAAGTTTCAAAGCATCACAGACCCTGGACCATTCCCACTCTATGTGTCCATGGCTGTTTAGCTGACCTGTGAGGACAACTTCCTCATTGATTCTGCAAAGGAAAGGCTTCACTGGCACACTATCATCCTCTTGACATTCATCCATGGCTCAACAACCATGGAGAGTAAAAGCACAAACAAACAGGTGCACTTGCCATGAAGAGTAAAAGCACAAACAAATAGGCGCACTTGCCTTTTGCTAGCAGTAGCCAACATGAAGAAAAGGCTTGGTACCATTGTTCAGCTTTACCAACAACATGTCCAGAAGAGCTCCTTCAGAGCCTAAAAGGTTTGGACACATTTGGAGGTTTAGGAAACATATGCTTTGCAAATGCACCATGCACAAAGCTGTAGCTACATCCAAGAAGCACTGGCTGATTTTTACACACTGGCCACCACCACATCTGCAGAAGGCAGCATTGCACTCAAGAGCCAATGCCTGCCAGCCAAGCAAGCAGTTCAGTTTAGTGGGGCCTGTGTCCTGGCACCAAAACATGAAATTGGTACATCCCAGCCTGCAAGGTGACTACTTACCACCTGGTCAGGTTTGTTTGGCCTGCACCACATGTTGAAAAGAACTCATCTCACCAGTGCATCATCACTCCCACCTACACAACTTGGTTGTTTGTTCATCTTCCTGTTGCTGTGGGCGCTCCTTCTTTCTCTTTTTGCTTGTGTGAGAGGTGGTAACAGCACCTGAGAAAGCAAGGAAAGGAATAGAAAGGCAGCAACATTGAGCCTTAGGACCCTGCATGGAGGATGTAGGCCAAGGTAGGTATGGATGGTTGGTAGCATAGCTCTTGTCATGTGCCTTGCATTGTCTCCATACACATTTTCATAAAACTCTTGCAGTGCATGTTCTGCTTGTTTCCACTCTGTCCAACCACTGAAGTGTCCCAAAGCCAGCACAGTGGTGGGTCATTTGAAGGCCAAGGCAGGGGTGCCTCAGCTCCCACACAATAGCCATGTTATTTGGAAGAAGGGATGGGAAACCAGACCAAAGTGCAGCTTAAGGCACAGTGACCTCTCCACCACTCATGGTTGGGGGCCTGTGTTTGAGCCTCACCTTGGAAAAAAAGGTTGTGATTGGACAAGCCAGTGCATTGCATCATGACTCATGAACTACACAGTCCAAGTCCTGAGCTCTGGCAGTCCTGTTTTCCCAAGACCACTGCTGTTGAGATCACCTATATGTTATATCAGCATCACATCTACCTCAGCCACAAAAGTGTGAGACATACCCCACACATTCCTTGCAGACACTTGCGCACAATTGCAGCTGAGATACTGGTCTGCTTATTTGAAGCTGATTGGATGGAATGCATTGTCTCCTGAGCTGGCCAGGGGGGCTACCTGCCCCACAAAGCAACATACCCCACCTATGGCCCACCAACACATCAACTAACAACACCGTTTCAACAACAAGTCTGAACAAATTGTTTTCCACTGCCTGCAAGCGATGCAAACACTTCTAGTCTGTGGGCACTACAGCCTCTCTGGCAATATAATGGGCCTTCAACACATGGCAAAAGCAAGTGCACTGGGCACCCATCCCTTGGATGCACTGTGGGTCACACCCTTTGATGCACTCCACCACCACTGAAGGCCCATGGGAACACTGCATCCTGTTCAGCTTCATCTCTGACCTGCCACAGTGAACCACCTGAGTACTTTCCTTCAAGACATAGGGAATGAGTGAATCCTCTGTCAGCAGCCATTTGATCTTGTCCCTGCCAGTACTCATCACTTCTTTGGCCATAGCCACCCTGGCTACTTTGCTAGGGGGCTCTCCTTCTGACACTGGGTCATCCAGCTGAGTAGGTTGAGTCATAGCTTTGAAAGTGCACCACACATATGCCTTGAGACAAAACTGCACATGCCATAAATAGTATACCTCCACATGCCACTAGATGCATGCCAGCCCACCCTCCTGCATCCCAGCCAAGGCTCTCCAATCACAGTCTCTAACCACATCTCCATCCACTCAGGACTCAGGCCTCAGCTCATTACACCACCACCTTCCCTAAACTTCCAGAAACTTCCTAACACTTCCAAAACCTTCCATAAACTTCCAAAACCTTCCATAAACTTCCAAAAACTTCCCCAAACTTCCAAAAACTTCCCAAAACTTCCACAAACTTCCAGAAAATTCCAAAAACTTCATTTGGGGAAAGCAAAAATTCTCATCCACCCAAAGACCCCCCAGGTTTAAAAGGAAGGAAATGCTGCCCTTTTTTTCCAGCATTTTTTCCATTTCCACCTTAGCTGTGCTGTAGTTCTTTTGTTTGTTTGGTCTTTTGCCACCACCATCACTTACACCCATTTACAAGGAACAGCACCACAGGAGAGATGTGAGATGTGTTTTGCGCCCACCACACCACAGGCCAAAGGACCCAGGTGACCATAGAGATGCCAGGCGCTGCCAGTGTTCAGCCAGCCATTTGATTGCCTTGGCTGCGCACAATGCAATGGATCATTAATTAATTCCTCACGTCCACACACACATATAATATTCCCAGCTTTGTGCACAGCAAGGTGCTGTACTCAGGGATAGATGCATAGTACCATTCTGATTTATTGGCATGTGAGTGCCAGTATTGAAGTTGCTCATTGACATACAGCCAAGTGTTTGGAATCCTGTCAATATCAAAGTGCACATGGAGCCTTTGCAGGTATGCATCCCTGAAGGACTCAAACTGAGTCATGGTGTCTTGAGGGGTGTCTATGGATCTCAGCATCTGTACTGCTGCCAGCCACTAACAGGTACCTCCAGCGCCACCACACCCATCCCCCAAATTCAGCCCACTCAACCCCCATCAAGGGGTCTGCCACAGAGCACCTTGGGAAAGCCATATCCAAGGGCCTGAGGCAAACACACACACACAGACACCCCTACCACTCTGCAAGCACTCTAAAGCAAGGCCTGGTGCCTTGCAGGGGACAATACAGAGAGAGTTCACTACCCTTTGAGCAATGAAGTACACTACAAGAGCAACATGTCACCTTTAGGCTAGGCTAAGCTCAATTGCCTCCTAGGCTAAGCTCAATTGCCTTGCAAACAAAAGTGCACAAGACATTACAAGACATTGCTCATTTGTTTTCTTTGCTCTGCCACAGGTGCAACCACCAGCCACTCATCATCAGATAGTCCTCAGCTGCACTTGCAGTGGCACCCAAAAGCTTACAACTCTTTCCAAACATGCCTTTCTAAAATTAAAAGGTCTCACACCTCCAAAAACACACCTACCCACACGTTAAGGCTCTAAGGCTCATCTCCACAACACAGAAAATGCGACTGGCTGCAAAAACACCATATCTTCTCCAAACACCCACCCAAAGTCTTGTTGCACAGCTTTCTTTTCAACTTACCACACAAACACCATATGATATGTTGTACATATGATATGTTGTAAGCTTGCTATACCCAAACACATAACATTGATGTAGTCATTCAAATCCCTTGGAAACATGTGTAAATATAGAATGTACATATATATATATATAATCACGCTCTTCTTACCTCATCCATAGATTTGCCTTGCCTTTGGGCCCCCAGCAGCAATTCTTGAAAGCTCTGCGCACAACTAGCCACCTTTTAGTTTGCATTAGCAACAAAGCTTGGACCAGAAGTTCAACTTTCCCTCCCACCCCACAGGCCCAAGAGCTCACCAGGTGCTGTCTCTGCCCAGCCAGCCATGTCACTGCCTTGGCTGCTCAGAAAGGGTTCTTTCCGCCTCCCACACACACATCTTCTCACCTTTGTGCACAGCACAGGAAAGGGCTCACAGTGCTGCAACAAACACACTAGTTGAACCAAAGGTGGCCAAACAATTGAAGCGCAACCCAACTAGTGTGCGCCAAATTGCTGCACAGGTCAGGCTAGCCTTTCAGTTTTTCTTCTTCTTTCCATCCTTTCCACCTCAGTTCCAACTCTTTAGCATGGCCAAGGGCGCAACGCACAGGCCACACTCAACCTATGTGCTGCCCAAGGCACTGAACAAACTCTCCACCTGAGCCTTTGTGTGCCCTTTCTTGTTCTTTTCTTCTTCCAGCTTCTTCCTAGCATACTCCTTCAGGCGATCTGCTTTCTCTTGAGCATCCTTCTCTTGTCTTGCTTTCTCCTCTGCCTCTTGTCTTGCTTTCTCTGCAGCCTCTTGTCTTGCTTTCTCCTCAGCCTCTTGTCTTGCTTCCTCCTCTGCCTCTTGTCTTGCTTTCTCTGCAGCCTCTTGTCTTACTCTCTCCTCTGCCTCTTGTCTTGTTTTCTCTGCAGCCTCTTGCCTTGCTTTCTCCTCTGCCTCTTCTCTTGCTTTCTCCTGTGCCTCTTGTCTTGCTTTCTCTGCAGCCTCCTGTCTGACTCTCTCCTCTGCCTCTTGTCTTGCTTTCTCTGCAGCCTCTTGTCTTGCCTTCTCTGCAGCCTCTTGTCTTATTCTCTCCTCCTCTGCCTCTTGTCTTGCTTTCTCTGCAGCCTCTTGTCTTGCTTTCTCTGCAGCCTCTTGTCTTGCTTTCTCCCCAGCCTCTTGCCTTGCTTGCTTCTTGCTTCATGTGCTCTGCCCCTCCTGCCCTTGCTTTTTCTTCAGCCTCCTGCCTGATCTTCTTCTCAATCTCCAGTCTCATTTGGAGCTGAGCCTCCTCACTTTTTCTTTTCTCAGCTTCTTGCCTGGCTTTCTCTTCAAACTCCTTCCTGATCATCACCTCCAACTCTTTCCTTTGACTGTATATGGCTTCCTTCTCTGCCCTGTTTTTTGCATCTTCTCTTGCCCTTTTCTCAGCCTCCTCTTGCTGTTCCTTCTCCTTTGCTTCTTGGCCTCAGCTTCTCTTGCCATCTTTTCAGCTAGCTCTCTGTCTTTCTGGTCTCTTTCTGCCCTAGCTTTCTCCAAAAAATATTTGACCATCTCCTCATGCTCTGTTGGAGATGGCTGGTTGGTCTTTGTCCCCTCTCCAAGTTGGGCCCTTGCATTCTCAAATGCCTTGCCTTGCTCAAAGGCCTTCTGCTCTTTTTGCTGCTGCCCACTTCCTGCCAAAGACATGGCAGGACAACTCTCACAAACTTCTCACCTTCACACTTTTTGAGTGACAGTGATAACTGGTGAGCTCAACTCTTTGCCACAGTGTCAACCTTTGCCACCATTGACGCTATTAAAATTATGTGAATAATGTGAACTGAACACAGCAGAACTGCTGCAGTTCTCCTCCACCAAAGTTGATGGTGCTCTGGGCCGGCTCCTTCACCTCATAGTCCACAGGCTCCTGAAACACCAAAAGCTTCTTTGCCCAGTCCATGTGCTGGGCATCCTTGGCAGCACTCACCTGACCAAGAGTGCAAACAAAGACTTGAACGTGACTATTGAGGTGTACTGCACTAGTGAAAGAAGTGCGCACTGCCATGTCAATTCACTCTTAGTTTCAGGGTTCACTCTCAGACCCCAAAAGTTAAACCAAGGAACCAGGACCTTGCACCACTGTGAATACTGATCATCATCATGGAACACATCCTTTGCATCCATGCAAGTGGAAGCAGGAGGTGGACCTTTCAGGACAAACTTGGAAGACCTGAGCTTCCAGGAGCCAAGAAAAATGCGCACTCAAAGCCACAAAGTAAAGTTCAGACATTCATTGAATAAAGTTCAGGCAAAACAAAGTTCAGGCATTCATTGAATAAAGTTCAGGCAACACACCTGTCTGGAGTTGTAGTATAAGTCCAACATGCAGGCACACCATGTGGTATGACCATCCTGGGCCTTCCACCTTGGGGCAAATGACCAGTTATCACTGGATTGCAAGCCAGTGACCCAAGATGGCCAACACATTGCAAATGAAAAAGCAAATGAGAAGGCAAGGCGCCATCCCTGCACTTCAACCATGTGTCCCCAACCTTTGAGATCTCCACAAAGTACAATGGCCTGTTCTCTGCATTCTGGTAGCCACCAGGTCCCTTGGCTGGCCAAGCATGAGACAGTTTGCAAACTAGAAAAAGAGCACATCACAGATGACCAACTCTGCACCACTCACACTCTTGAGGCCATGCTTCCACCTGGCCAGGAAGCTTGCCATCCACCACTTCAGCCCATCCATACTTCTCTGCCACAGCTTCCTGCAGCCCATCTACAAACAAGTCTGCATCCACAAAAACACTGACTTACCCTGCCAGACAAATCAAATGAGAACACGTAATACCACATATCCTGAGCACTGCAGACATACAGTGCAAGACATTGAACACACACCACATACCCAAAGCAGTACATAAATAACCTCTGCAAGTAAGGGGTCAATTGAAGCTGGCAGCCAAGATTCTATGTTGGAAAGGTCCTCATTCACTTCAGCCATTCTGTCTCCAACTCTTGCAGTGAATCTCTCATGTGCTTCCTTGAGTCTCAGCTTCCTGGGCTGCTGGAGATGTGGGAGCAATGGGCTGGAGAAGCAAGCAACTATGCACAAACATGATATACATATATATATATATTTATGTAGCTACCATTGCAACTCAGTGTCATAGCAGCCAAGTTCCTACACCGCATCTCCCTCAGCTTGTGCCATGGTGGCAGGCCACACACCAAGTAGAATGCCATACCAATCTGAAGGTCTGTCAACTGTTCCTTCAGACCATCGACAAACCTGGCAGCATCACAGTGCTTGAGAAAGCGCAGCTGGTCTCTCCTGCATGCAAGATGCATAGTTCAACATTCATCTTTCAACCCTTGCAAAAAAAAATCACCCCATGCTAGCATCAAAGAAGGCTCCTGCACAGCACATTCTTGGATCCACCCTTTGTGTTGTTCTTGGCCAAATGGACCTTGGGAACCTTCTTCTTGTCCAGCTTTCTACCTGATTACACCAGTGCTTTCAACATGCCCACCTGCTTTTCAAGGTTGGGAACTTACCCTTAGCTTAAAGAAATACTTTGCTGGTTGCACCCATTGTGAGAAACATCATTCACTGTTGATTGTGCATCAGTGCTCTCAGAGTCTGATCCAGATGAGCTCTTCTTGCCTCCACCAAAAATGGTAGAGAAACACTGCGCACTAAACAAGTGGAGTGGTTCCTCTTCAGTGACTGAACAAGTGAAGGAATGGAAACAAAACTGATGACACCTTTTTTCTTTTTATTCTTCTTTTTCTTGGACTTTTTCTTCTTCTTCTTCTTCTTCTTCTTCTTCTTCTTCTTCTTCTTCCTGTCGCTGCTGGACCTTGTGGTGCAAAAGCAATAACTCAGAAAGAAGGTTGAAGGAGCATGTGGGCATTGCAGAAGGTTTACAAGACCTTCTGCCTCAAAACCAGGAACTGAACAATAACCACCAACTCTGTTTATGCAAGAGGCGAATCATCACCACTTCCTTTGCCTTCAGTGTGCAGCAAAACACACATGTCCTTCCCCATGCCTACCTGCATTTCGTGAAACAAATGCTGCATAGTTACTATCTTCCTCATCATCATCATCATCATCATCATTCCCAGGTTCAGACATAGATGGGGCAGGTTCAGATACCCCTGAACCAGTGGAACCAGTGGCCTGCCCAAATTGAGGGTAGACAGGATGATTCTGGAACTGTGGCTGCTGAAAGAACCCAGGTAGCTGTGGAGGAGGCCGATTGTATGGAGGATAGTATTGACTGGCAAAAGGCACCATTTGCATGTGCCTTGGACATGGTTGAGTGCAAAATAATTCACAATGACTCAATGCAATTAAAAACTGTCACACTGCTTCACAGCAAGGCAGTGCACCCAAGTAACTCTGGAAGACTTGATTTCTGCTTCTTGTGGCTGGGCATGGCAGTCAGGGGTGGTTGAAAAACTGTGGGCCCAATGGCCCTGCAAAAATGCTTTGCAAGAATGGAAGGCATGTTTGTTGGTTGCCATGTGTTTTGCCCCAGAGGGGCAATCATGGTGTGATTGTGGTTTCATTTGCTCACCATCATGTGATCATGGTTTCAGGCATCTTCTCCTCACCATGGTTTGAGCCACCTCCTGATGGTGCCATCATGGTTTGAAACCTGCAGCAAAGTTGCCCTAGTAGCCACCTCCTGATGGTGCCATCATGGTTTGAAACCTGCAGCAAAGTTGCCCTAGTATTCATCAAGAGGGGTACTTGCCCTTATGCATATCAGATGTCATGCTGAATCATTCAATTTCATTCAGATTCATTGAAAATAACCTGAATGAAACTTAATGACTCATCATGAGATCTATATGCAAAAGGATAAGCCCCATGAGTACCCCTCTTGATGAATACCCCTGTTCTCAAAGAAGAGGTCAGTGGGGGAACAAGAATTGTCCTTCCTAGGGTTAATCACGGTGTGTGTTTGTGTACCTGTATAATGTAGACTATTGATTAGTAACCCTCATGGGGGGTGATTGAGGACCTGATTCTGCTCTACAAGCACCTTTTGTGTATATAAACAGTTCACTTACCTGTCCCTGACGGGTCCCTGTGTCGGAAACCATCGCCACAGGAGATGGACCATCGCACGTGGGGAAAACCCCACAACCGAAGGAGAAGGGAAATGGTCGAAATGGTCGAACATCGGTTTGGTCAGGTTGAAGGAGATGAAAACCTGCATTGAAACCTACATTCTTTTTATAAGAATGCATGATTTTCGACTCCATGCCACTGCATCTGCAGTCTAGTTCACACAAACATCGTCTGGTTTCACAAAGTCTTGTGGATCAAATCGCTACGATCCCGCTCTCTCGAACGGAATCTTCATGGACCAAGGCACCACCTTTGCCGGTGACCGGCCATGCTCCGGAGACTTCGAAATGTCAAAGGACAAGCAGTTCTTGCTCTCCAGTTCGGCCTGCAAACATGTACTGCGCGACGTGGGCGTGTGTGGAGCATGTGAGCATTGACGGATGGACCATGTGTCTTGAAATCATATGAAAATCATAGTTTTTGAATCCAAAAAGGGGGAGTGTTCAGGAACTAAGAGTCTATAGTTTTTATATCTATGTATATATTTATATATATCCGCCGACCCCTGCTTAGCCCTTGCCTAAGCGGGGCGGCGCCAGGGACACCGGAGGGTGGAACGGGTGGCAGTGCAAACGAAAGTCTGAGCCAAGCTGCGGCCTTTGGCCGGCATAGCTGCAGTGCAGGAGTGTGGCCAGAGGTCCCGCCCTCAAACGCTTCTCGGCAGCCGGCAGGCCTGCCCCGGCCTCTCTGTGGCCTGTCCGAAGCCTGCCTCTTCTCTTCTTCTGGGCTTCCGAAGGCAACGTTAGAGAAGAGGCACGCCGAAAGCTTTTTCTATGGGCTTCCAAAGGCGACGTTAGACAC